TCATTTGCGTTTTCTCAGGTGCAAATGTTACTTGCCGTCTATTTCCCCAAGCTGATATAGCTCTCAGCTGGTGATTGATGTAGCTTAGAGCAGCTGGCATTTCTTCTCTTGGATAAGTGAATGTCAGTGTACAGTCGTCTGCATATGCATGTGATTCTGGGATGAGATGAAGAAGGTCGTTGAAGTAGACATTCCATAACAATGGTCCCAGCACGCTTCCTTGTGGAACACTTGCCCCCATAGGATGTCTTGCTGATTCCGTTCCATTGAGAACTACACTTAGAGATCTACCATGAAGGTAATCACTGAGGAGACATAGCGTAGAGCCTGAAATTCCCAGTGCTTGAAGTTTTGCTAAGAGGCCCTGGTGCCACACCCGGTCGAAAGCGCCAGCAATGTCCAGTGCTACCACATAGCTGACTTTGGATTCATCCAGTGACTGGTGCCACTTAGTGGAGAGGTTTAACAACAGATCAGCAGCAGAGTAACCTTTCCTGAAGCCATATTGACTATCACAAAGTAGTGAGTGGTAGTCAAAAAACTCTGTCATTTGTCTTGAGATTATTGCCTCAAGGATCTTACCAGTGATTGACAGGAGTGACACTGGTCTGTAGTTGCTGATTTCTGCTCTGCTCTTCTTTTTGTGAACAGGGACTCTCTCTCTCTCTTTCTCTCTCTCTCTCTCTCTCTCTCTCTCTCTCTCTCTCTCTCTCTCTCTCTCTCTCTCTCTCTCTCTCCTCTCTCTCTCTCTCTCTCTCTCTCTCTCTCTCTCTCTCTCTCTCTCTCTCTCTCTCCAGGTCTATACTCAATATCTAGTCTTCTTCGTCATCCCCCAAATTTTTTAACCTTGCATTTGCTGGGTTTGAATTTGAATATCCATTTGTCTGACAAATTTTGGAGTATGTCCACATCTATTAACAGCCTTTCCTTATCCTCATGGGTTTTTCTTCTCCTGTTTAATTTCACATGTAGAAAGACGTGTTACATTTAACTTTCTCTTCTGGTATGTAACTCATGTAAAACCCTATTCGGTATCTTATCCCTTTCTGACATCTCTTCTCGGATAAATACATTTCGTGTCTTTCTCTTACGATAATCTTTAATCCACTGAAGTACATTCCCTGTTATTCCTGTCTCCACTTCAAGTTTTTTCCTCCATCTCTTATAAGGTGGAGAATCAAACGTTTATGATAACAATTCTCTGTGAATGCTCTACCGCTCTCCTGATTATCTGTTCCATACTGATCTAGTTCAGTGCTTTCTGTCTCTTTTCGTAAATACTGGGACTACATTCCAGATGTCTGGTATGTCCTGTATGACTTGTAGATCTTAGTGGGATAGACAGTGCTTCTTCTACAGAATTCATTGTGATGCCTTCTCGGGTCTTATTGCCTCTGATGTGTCCAGATCACCCAAAAGTTTTTTCCACATGTTTCCCTCTTGTGAAACCAGCACCTGTTGGTGTCCAGTACCTGTCAGTGCACTACTTTCACTTTGGCACCTTGGCACCTTGGCCCTGTGGTGTTGTCTTGTCCATTGAGTAAAACATGTGAGATAAGGTATATGTCCAGTCATAGGATATTTTATTAAGGAAATGTTTCTCTACTAATGAGTTTGTCAGTCCTACGGAGATAACAACAGGCAGAGTTTATATATTGGTAGAGGTAAGATGCAAAGAAGTGATGTACGTACAGAAGGGGGGTAGAGAAATCGGGCTAGCATCAACTAGTAGGCCAACGATACTTCTCCAAAATTCCAGAGTCGTGATGGGTGAAGAATTAATTTGGGTAGGACTTACGAAACAATAATACTGCCAGAGTTTTGGGCAACTATGTTGATGGTTGTAATAAAAAAAAGACTTTCCAGTCATTGTCGTCTAGTTAGTTCTTCTCTGATAACGAGTTTGGCATCGTTAAATTTCTTAAGATGGTTGTAAATATTACGATAAATGACGCACGCTATGTACTGGTTATCCCTAGGGCATACGTTCCAGTGCTCTCTCATACGTTGCTCCAGGCTTTTAGACGTTTCTCCAACATAAACCTTCTCACAACCTCCGCATGGGATCACCCACACACTTGCTTTACTATCAGTAGGTCAAGCAGTTTTCTTCTTGACTAAGCGGACGTACTGGTGGTTGTCTCAGTGTTGCTTCTGGCAAGCTAATACACTTGCCAGGAGCGATGTTAATGTAACCACCATGACTTCCACCATGATAAAAAAAACTTAATCAAGAAGGAAACCGCCAGACCAACCGATTGTAAGCCAGGTGTACGCGATCCCATGCTGAGGTTGCAAAAAAAAATTATCTTAGAGCAACGTCTTGAGCAACATATCAGAGAGGACCACAATGCAATCCATGCAGTGGGGATGACTGATACAATGCCTGTGGCATCTATTGTCATACTCACAATCATCTTATGAAATTTAAAGAGTTCAGATTCGTCATCATGATTGACCCAACCAGATGACAATGTCTGGAAAGTGCTTTGATCGTAACCATCAGCACTGTTGTCCAAAACTCTGGCAGCATTACTATTACAGAAATCTTAGCCAGATTAACTATTTACCACCAGGGCACCACAGGTACCTAAATGTTGGAATTTTGGAGTACGGTACCGGTCCTACTGTCCCAGGCCAGCTACGTCTCAACCCCCTGGCTCACAGCTCTACTGGTCTTGGTTCTGCAACTCTACCACAATATAAACTTTGCCTCTGGTTATCTCTATCGGACTGAAGAATCCATTTATGGTGAAATGTTTCCTCAAAATGTCCTAGTACTGCACATGTGTTTTATTTCACATTGATCGGTATTTTATATTACGTATATGACGGTATATCTTCCCTAGTTGAGAACATCTATTTACATCTTTTATTCAAAACCTTGCAGACTTCTTTATCATTTATTGTGAGCTCTCCTCCTTCCTTCCTCAGACTTTCCTTTTTTGTGGTCATTTTTCTGAAGTTACTGAAGTTGCTTCCGTTCTCATAGCGTCACTCAGCCTCTCTGCTCACACCTGCATATTAATTTTTGACTCTTCTGCTCTCTTCTGTGTTCTTATTTTCCCTTCCCTCTCTACATTTTTTCCATGTTCTTGTACTTCTCTTATTATCATCTTTGCATCTTCGATTGAACTTAAGGCCTCTTTTGTTTTTGCCATTTCTCCTTCTAGGCGTCCAGCTTTCCTCTGCCTACAAGCACTTAACCACAACTTACTCAATTTGAATCAATTGACTTTCTTTCCGGTCATCTTTCCCACTGTACTCCAATCAGGAATTCTCCCATCCCGTGGAAGTTTTCCCTTCTGAAGTTTGATTTCCGTGCCTAACATCTGCTGATTTTCCCTCAATGTTTAATTCTTCAGGATATTTGAAATTCAACACTGTATGGTAGCTGTCACTCAAAGAGTTTTTTATATATCCAGTCATGATGACTCTTTCATTTGTCGTTGTATCTTTACGATGCTGAGACATGAAATTCTTAATCACCTCTATCATCATAGCTCTTCACGTGTACTCACCTATTTGTGGTTGCAGGGGTAGAGTCATAGCTCCTGCCGCCCCCGTGTGTGTGTGTGTGTGTGTGTGTGTGTGTGTGTGTGTGTGTGTGTGTGTGTGTGTGTGTGTGTGTTTGTGTGTGTGTGTGTGTGTGGTGTGTGTGTGTGTGTGTGTGTGTGTGTGTGTGTGTGTGTGTGTGTGTGTGTTTTGCATCCAGCACTATACAGCAACACACCAGAAGAGACAGATCATCTCTGGACGCCTCTGTCTTCCCCACCACCTGCGTGCCTGCGAGGGCCGCACTGGCCGACTCCTGGCCTTCGTTCTACTCTTTACCCGGTGCGTCTTGGCAATACGATGGAATAGTAGCTAATATGTTCACTAGTACTCCCAGAAGTAGCTCACCCAACTCCCGAGGAAATATGGCCTAAGAGATGGTCAAAAGAATCACATTTGGGTTCTATTTGGGCTCTGTCCAAATGGAACTACCGGGACTTACTAAGACGTACCGGAGCATGTTTTGATAACACACACATTCTCAGATCTCTCTCTCTCTCTCTCTCTCTCTCTCTCATATATATTATTTTGCTGCCGTGTCCTGTGCCTGGAGCATCTACAACTATCCGCACCTAGCTACTCCGTTTCTCCTCACAATCACCGTCACAACTATTCACCAAGGAAGCGGAATCTTCATAAAAGCACACTGAACGACGACAATCTTTTTCCCTCAGGAGGCGGTAAGCTCAGGGAAACACTGTATCGATGCATGTCACACCAAGCTGCACCAGGTGTCCTTCAATATTAACTAGAACTCACGAAATCGTAATGACACGATTGCAACAAACCATACCACGGACGGGGGTAGAACCCGCGATCAGTGAGTCTCAAAACTCTGGCTAACGAGTCGGTCTGGAGTTTTCGGACTCTGGTAGCGGGTTCTAACCCCGCCCGTGGTATGGTTTATCTAGAACTCACGACAAACAGGATCAAAAACGCATGCATCATGCACTCGCAACTCAGACACGAAGAAATAAAAGGATATCCATATTTGTTTATGTCTAAAGGTTACTATTCCTTTACAGGTGAAATATATTAGATATTGACATATAGTTATGGTTGGAAAAAATATATTAAGATATAACAAAGTTATGTCGTTATCAACGCAGTAATATTCAGTTCCACAAGGAGTTTGTATTTCTCGGCTCCAGTTTGTCTTTTGAAATGCCAAGAAACAAATGTGAATCCGTTTAATTTCTCAACTTTTGTTTAGATTTACGATTACAATTATACTAGCGACCGAGTCCCTTGTCATAACCTAATCAACCGTGTTACGTTGTACTCAATTTGAGCAGCAAAGACCCTTATTTCTCTATCTCAGAATGAAGTTAAAATACGACTGTTTTCTCCCTATTTAATAGCAATTTTTGCAACTGTTTCTCTGTTCGCTAAGGTTAACCTTCAATTTCCAATAGGAAGATTAACTACAGTAATCCTTGTTACAGGTGTCTCTGGCAGTGATGCAGAAAGAGCTCTACGAGACAGCGATGGGGCGTGGGCAAATCTACTCGCTATATCCAAGGCCCAGTCAAGAGCAAATGTTTACCCCAGGACAAGTGGGACCTCTCGCAATCGCTTCCTCAAAGTTGTGCGACAGACGGTCCTAGCTGCGCCCCAATCCATGCCAAATGCCATTGAGGAACCTTCATCATAAGCGCCCTTAGAACCACACATCCACCAAGCCCACCAACCTCCTGAGCCAAACCAAAGTGTATATGCTCCTTTTCACACATATCTTTCGTCAGACTACATCCCCGGACTTCCAAACCCATATATTTAGATGGTAGTGATGGTATGTTCGTCAGAAAAGAGGAAAGTGTCCCCTGAGGCTGGTCATGTCTCTTGATGACCTACTCAGTACTAAGCTGCTGGCTAGATTTTTCACCTCCATTCAATATATAAAGGATCACCACGTAGTGTCCTAGAATATATCCCTAGGTTATATCTATGAACTACACACCTTCACCCAGACTCACCTCACCCTTTCCGAGGCTCGTTCATCCACCAGGCATTAGTAGTATTGTTTATGAATCTTTACATGACTGAAAAGACATCACATAGCCAATTAATTAATTATTATAATTAGCATAACCAAATAAAAAAAATTATTAAAACAAAATATGACCCAAATATTAAAGAAATTTAATAGCAACACAGTAAAAACGACTTCAAAAATTCGCAAAATATATGTAGATTTAAATCAGGAAAACAGGGACATACAAATTAGAGAGCTAAATTATTTGAAAAAAATATGACTGACTTGGGAATTGTATGGAATGATGAGACAAATAAAAATGTAAATAAATGGCATATGATAACCCAAAAATAAAAAAATCCGAGAAGTACGTACATTTATGCAAAACAAATGTAAGAAATATATATAGATGAGATAAACTAGAGCAAAACCAAGAAAAATAAAAGAATGACCAGGACAAATAATGAGACAGATCAAAATTGCAGTTGTAAACATTCGAACGCTATTGTAACATCAACAGAGGCAAAACCTTCATTAATTATTTTAAGCTTTGATCTCCTTAAGAGAGGTTCCTTGATGCCAATGAGAAGCTATTGAACCGAGGTTCCTTGATGCCAATGAGAAGCTCTTGAGCCGAGGTTCCTTGATGACAATGAGAAGCTCTTGAGCCGAGGTTCCTTGATGCCAATGAGAAGCTATTGAACCGAGGTTCCTTGATGCCAATGAGAAGCTCTTGAGCCGAGGTTCCTTGATGACAATGAGAAGCTCTTGAGCCGAGGTTCCTTGATGCCAATGAGAAGCTATTGAACCGAGGTTCCTTGATGCCAATGAGAAGCTCTTGAGCCGAGGTTCCTTGATGCCAATGAGAAGCTATTGAACCGAGGTTCCTTGATGCCAATGAGAAGCTCTTGAGCCGAGGTTCCTTGATGCAAATGAGAAGCTCTTGAGCCGAGGATCCTTGATGCCAATGAGAAGCTCTTGAGCCGAGGTTCCTTGATGCCAGTGAGAAGCTCTTGAGCCGAGGTTCCTTGATGCCAATGGTAAGCTCTTGAGCCGAGGTTCTTTGATGCCAATGAGAAGCTCTTGAGCCGAGGTTCCTTGATGCAAATGAGAAGTTCTTGAGCGGAGGTACCTTGATGCCAATGAGAAGCTCTTGAGCCGAGGTACCTTGATGCCAATGAGAAACTCTTGAGCCGAGGTTCCTTGATGCCAATCAGAAGCTCTTGAGTCGAGGTTCATTGATGCCAATGAGAAGCTCTTGAACCATGGTTCCTTGATGCCAATGAGAAGTTCTTGAGCCGAGGTTCCTTGATGCCAATGAGAAGTTCTTGAGCCGAGATTACTTGATGCCAAGGAGAAGCTCTTGAGACGAGATTCCTTGATGCCAATGAGAAGCACTTGAGTCGAGGTTCCTTGATGCAAATGAGAATCTCATGAACCATGCTTCCTTGATGCCAATGAGAAGCTCTTGAGATGAGGTTCCTTGATGCCAATGAGAAGCTCTTGAACCGAGGTTCCTTGATGCCAATGAGAAGCTCTTGAACCGAGGTTCCTTGATGCCAATGAGAAGCTCTTGAGCCGAGGTTCCTTAATGCCAATGAGAAGCTCCTGAACCGAGGTTCCTTGATGCCAATGAGAAGCTCTTGAGCCGAGGTTCCTTGATGCCAATGAGAAACTCTTGAGCCCAGGTTCCTTGATGCCAGTGAGAAGCTCTTGAGTCGAGGCTCCTTCATGACAATGAGAAGCTCTTGAGATGAGGTTCCTTGATGCCAATGAGAAGCTCTTGACTCGAGGTTCCTTGATGCCAGTGAGAAGCTCTTGAACCGTGGTTCTTTGATGCCAATGAGAAACTCTTGAGCCGAAGTTCCTTGATGCCAATGATTAGCTCTTAATTCGAGGTTCCTTGATGCCAATGAGAAGTTTTTGAACCATGGTTCCTTGATGCCAATGAGAAGCTCTTGAGTCAAGGTTCCTTGATCCTAATGAGAAGCTTTTGAACCATGGTTCCTTGATGCCAATGAGAAGCTCTTGAGTCGAGGTTCCTTGATGCCAAATGAGAACCTCTTGAGCCGAGGTTTCTTGATGCCAATGAGAAACTCTTGAGCCGAGGTACCTTGATGCCAATGAGAAGCTCTTGAGTCGAGGTTCCTTGATGTAAATGAGAAGCTCTTGAGTCGAGGTTTCTTGATGCCAATGAGACACTCTTGAGCCGAGGTTCCTTGATGCCAATGAGAAGCTCTTGAGTCAAGGTTCCTTGATGCCAATGAGAAGCTCTTGAACCATGGTTCCTTGATGCCAATGAAAAGCTCTTGAGCCGAGGTTCCTTGATGCCAATGAGAAGCTCTTGAGTCAAGGTTCCTTGATGCCAATGAGAAGCTCTTGAACCATGGTTCCTTGATGCCAATGAGAAGCTCTTGAGTCAAGGTTCCTTGATGCCAATGAGAAGCTCTTGACTCGAGGTTCCTTGATGCCAATGAGAAACTCTTGAGCCGAGGTTCCTTGATACCAATGAGAAGCTCTTGAGTCGCGGTTCCTTGATGCCAATGAGTAGCTCTTGAGTCGAGGTTCTTTGATGCCAATGAGAAACTCTTGAGCCGATGCTCCTTGATGCCAATGAGAAACTCTTGAATCAAGGTTCCTTGATGCCAATGAAAAGCTCTTGAACCATGGTTCCTTGATGCCAATGAGAAGTTCTTGAGCCGATGTTCTTTGATGCCAATGAGAAGCTCTTTTTCCGAGGTTCCTTGATGCCAATGAGAAGCTCTTGAGTCGAGGTTCCTTGATGCCAATGAGAAGCTCTTGAGTCGCGGTTCCTTGATGCCAATGAGAAGTTCTTGAGTCGAGGTTCCTTGATGCCAATGAGAAACTCTTGAACCGAGGTTCTTTGATGCCATTGAGAAACTCTTGAGCCGAGGCTCCTTGATGCCAATGAGAACCTCTTGAATCAAGGTTCCTTGATGCCAATGAAAAGCTCTTGAACCATGGTTCCTTGATGCCAATGAGAAGTTCTTGAGCCGAGGTTCTTTGATGCCAATGAGAATCTCTTGAGCCGAGGTTCCTTGATGCCAATAAGAAACTCTTGAGCCGAGGTTCCTTGATGCCAATGAGAAACTCTTGAGCCATGGTTCCTTGATGCCAATGAGAAGTTCTTGAGCCGAGGTTCCTTGATGCCAATGAGAAACTCTTGAGCCGAGGTTCCTTGATGCCAATGAGAAACTCTTGAGCCATGGTTTCTTGATGCCAATGAGAAGTTCTTGAGCCGAGGTTCCTTGACGCCAATGAGAAGCTCTTGAGTCGAGGTTCCTTGATGCCAATGAGAAACTCTTGAGCCGAGGTTCCTTGATGCCAATGATAAGCTCTTGAGTCGAGGTTCCTTGATGCAAATGAGAAACTCATGAACCATGGTTCCTTGATGCCAATGAGAAGTTCTTGAGCCGAGGTTCCTTGATGCCAATGAGAAGCTCTTGAGTCGAGGTTCCTTGATGCAAATGAGAAACTCATGAACCATGGTTCCTTGATGCCAATGAGAAGTTATTGAGCCGAGGTTCCTTGATGCCAGTGAGAAGTTCTTGAGCCGAGGTTCCTTGATGCCAATGAGAAGCTCTTGAGCCGAGGTTTCTTGATGCCAATGAGAAGCTCTTGAGCCGAGGTTCCTTGATGCCAATGAGAAACTCTTGAGCCGAGGTTCCTTGATGCCAATGAGAAACTCTTGAGCCGAGGTTCCTTGATGCCAATGAGAAGTTCTTGAGTAGAGGTTCCTTGATGCCAATGAGAAGCTTTTGAACCATGGTTTCTTGATGCCAATGAGAAGCTCTTGAGTCGAGGTTCCTTGATGCCAATGATAAGCTCTTGAGTCGAGGTTCCTTGATGCAAATGAGAAACTCATGAACCATGGTTCCTTGATGTCAATGAGAAGTTTTTGAGCCGAGGTTCCTTGATGCCAATGAGAAGCTCTTGAGACGAGGTTCCTTGATGCCAATGAGAAGCTCTTGAGCCGAAGTTCCTTGGTGCCAATGAGAAGCTCTTGAGCCGAGGTTCCTTGATGTCAATGAGAGGTTCATGAACCGAAGTTCCTTGATGTCAATGAGAAACTCTTGAGCCGAGGTTCCTTGATGCTAATGTGAAGCTCTTGAGCCGAGGTTCCTTGATGCCAATGAGAAGCTCTTGAGTCGAAAAAATGAACCTACCCTCCCCATGAATTGAGCATGACTGCCACCCATTCCCCATGCGCTGTATGACCCCTATGGGTTTTGCGTTTTCGAATGACCGTAACAACAATTATTTTGCATTACTAAGAAAGAAAAAATAAAATAACACCGATGAAGAGAAAGAAAAAAACGAATAATTATGTTAAAAGCTGATGGAGTAACGATGTCGACAATGAAGAGAAAGTACGTAAGACGGACTTCTTAAAAGATGTCAATAATATAAAGAAAGAAGGAGATTGCAAGGATATGATATAGAGGATCTATTAAAGAAGGGATAAACTTAATTATATGGAAAATGTGTAAAAAACTAAGTCTTGAAAGAAAGTAGCTTTAGCATTTTTTCTCTCCATGGTAAGTTTTAGTTTAATATGTTTATTAATCACCCCAAACCCATCCTGTGGGTGGTAGTCAAAAGATTACAGAGGTACATAATTGGTCCAGGGACTGGACTCCAAAGTTTTGATAGCTGAACAAGTTACAAAGGTAATGAACTAGATCTGGTCACGATCATAACAAATTACAAAGGTAATGAGCTCCAGGTAGAGCTGGTCACACTCATGACAAGTGTGGCATGCAAAGAGTACGTAACCTTTATTCGGCGCATGTACACATCCTCATTTACAGGTTATCTCCCCAACCAGCGAACCAGGTTGCTAAGAGTTGATGATGGGGCCCCGTCGTTCAACTAGTGACCAGGTTCTAGCCAATAAGAAGATGGTTTTGGCAATCGCAGAGGTTGTGGGTACCGCTCTCCTGTCTGCCCTTGTCATTCCCATTCTAGAGCTGGTTGAAGCACGGTCTGCTACCTTGTGGCTTCTATTTCTGCCTTGCTTACCGAGGAGTGCACTATACTTATCACTGTACATAGTGTACATATTGCTGTTCTAAATTGGTGAAGGATAATATAAGTCTAAACTTTTCTGCTGTGTTTATTTTGCTCCCATTACACCCGGGATAACAGGCCATTTGGAATCCTGGGTTGTAATAACAAGTTACAAGGGTAATAAGTCATAAACACGTCCATACATGGTTACAATCATGAACAAATTACAGAGAAATGAGCAATTAACAAACATTCTGAGGAGTACAGCCA